TAATTGACACAAAAATCTTTCCTGTCACATTTAACTCTTAAAAAAGTTGTTTCCTCATCTCTACTCATATTAAAACTCATAAAACACAGATTGAAATACGTCAGGAGTTTGTTTCTGTTTACAATTGTAAAACATGACTAAATATTAACTTTCTGAAAAAATCCAGTCTCACAGATTGATGTTCGTGGAAAATTTAGTGGAAGGAAAAAGTCTGCTTTGGAAGTGGAGCACAAACAATTCACGACATTTTAGAGATTGACAAAGTGAGAACTGCAGGTTGAGGGAGCGTCCTCAAACACGGGATGTGCTTTTAATTCAGCAGTTTTGAGAAAAAGTTTTTACACCAGAGAGATCTGCAGTCTGACTCAACCAGCTCATGTTTTTAAGTACAGATATATTAACAAATGCAAATTTGTAACAGTCTTTATTTTTTTTCCCTGAAGAATGACAAATAAAAGTACAAGTAATGTTTTTAGATTTTGTCTAATTGTCAATAGGTTTAACTCTATGTGCCATTTTAAAAAACTAGAAATAAAACAGCTGGTACTTTAAAAATTAAAAAAAGATTTCCAAAAGTAAACAAGTTTTATTTGGCTGTCCTGGCAGAAAAATTGCTCTTCATGTTGTAAATATTGCAGATTTATGTACTTAGAGGAAAATTTCATAAATCAGGGGTGTCCAAAATGTGGGTCGAAGGCCATTTGTGGCCCTTAAAATGATTTAATTCGGCCCATGACAAGTCAAGAACGGTAAAAATTTGGCCAACAAAATAGGATTGTTTTCTTTTAATAACTCAGCAGTTCACAGCCCTTTGTATGTTTTGAGTCCCTAATATGCCAATTTTTAAAATCTGTATATTGTTGAGCACTTAAAAAAGAAAAAAAAATGTTTAATGAATTTTAAACCTGCCAGTAGTTTAAATTTGTGACATTTGGCCCCCAGAACAAAATATTTGAAAACATTTATCTGCAGTTAAAGCTTCCTTTAATCAATAGTTTATAGAAAGATTGTTCATTAATCTAAACACTTTATAAATCATTAATAACAGTTTATTATGGTATAATAATGTAAGAACACATTCTCCAATACCAATAAACTTCAAACTAATGAACATTTAACACTGGGACTGGAAGACATTTGAAACATTCAAAACAAAATAAACAAAAACAAGAAATAAAATGAATCAATTCTATACATAAAATTATTCTTCAAAAGAGGAATAGTTGTGACAAAAACACCAGACTGAAGATTTTTATTCAGGTTTTGGTAGAAAGACAAAAAAGAGAAAGATGATAATCATAAAAATGGAAATTATTGAGCTTGTTTTATCAAGCGATTTACTGATTTATTGCAACAGGCCTAATAACTCCAGGTAAAATACAAAGGTGTAATTTTGGCTCTTCTCACCCTTAACCTATGCATAATACACAGTTATTAATGATTTATAAAGTGTTTATAGATGACTTAACATATCTATTAACCATTTATTAGCCAACTATTGTAAAGTGTTTTTTAAGGTGTATAAAATCTGAAACCTGGCCCAGCCAGTAAATAACACCACTGAGTTTGATTCCAGAGCCTTACTGCCTGTTTACCTCTCACAGAGTGCAGAAAAATGATATGTTCTCATTTTTAGGCATGTCATACCCCAGCTGGCCCGAGACGAGCCCGGTACCGCTCAACAGACACGATGCCACTAATCCGGTCTTTACAAGATATGCCAATGATAGTGTTTATGCAAACTGGATGGCTTTGCCTTCACCTGCTAAAGCTGTGGACAAGCTCGATAGCTAAAGGCAACGCTGCACTGTAGAAAACATGGGTAACTGCTAGATGTATATTTATTTTTCTGAGTTTTTGTATTGACCCTTTGCAACTACGTCACTTAATCACTGGAGGTGCCATGACGGACATCGGAAGTGAGGGATTGGGAGTATACGTAGTTCCCACAAGTCTGAACTGGAAGTAAAATGCAACATCTTGGTAGGCAATCACATGCAGTTTGAGACCATCAAAAAGAAAATATGTGGAAATTCTTGACCAATGTGCAAGAGAAAGATACATGAACAAAATGGCTACTGTCGGGATTGACCCGTATGAGACGGAAAAGAAAAATATGTCAGACGATGTGGACAAGCTGCCTCTGATCTCATACTTATTATTAACACGGAGTAAATGTTCCAAAAGATTTGTAAAAACGAACGAACTCTTCAGGTTCTGGTGACTGTAAGAGTAAGTGCATATGGTAACACACACATAGGCTACATGTCTGTATTAGCTTTAGATAAAAGCTACATTATATAAGCTAATTTTGCTAGTTCAGCAATAAGTACTACAGTAAGTCTCACTATTTATCTTAGTATTACAGAGGTGGTTAGTGTGCTCAAAAATAGTAATCGAGTAATAGTTGCAATGTACTTATATTGTTTATAAGCTAGCTAGAGGAGGCGAGAGCTAGTTTTAAGCTTATGGCTTGTTTACTGTTGTCATAGCAACTGCCTACCAAGATGGCACAAACTTCACAGAAGTGTGATGTCACATGAGAAATATGTATTGAACAGATCGACTTAAGTGTTTTCCCAAGTTGTTTTGTTGCCAGTTTATTAACGGCTGCTTCTTGTTCAAGTCGAGCTAATTTGTCTGTGAATGTAACACACCATAGACAGCGTTATTTACAAAAGTTGGAAATAGCTAATTTAGAAACCAATGTTTCCTACCTCCTGATGTGTTGATAAAATTACAAATTTACCCTGAATTCACGCCACATAATTTATATCATAAACAGCGTTTCCTCCCTTTACTCCGGAGCAGCCTTAAAAACGAGATGCTAACCAGTTTTGTTTTTTTTCCCATACATGCTAGGCTACATGACGGTGGGGTATTTTCTCCATGATTACTATTGGTTAGACATGTACCTTCTCTATAATCCAATATTTGATTGCATCTTCCTAATCATACTTCATTATAAAGTTTATGATAGTTAAACTTCTTGCCTTGTAAAAAAGTGTTCGCTGCAAATCCGCCATTACACCGAGGGCTGCCTGTCATTATGTTTGACAACTGATATCCATCGCCGCCGTATTTTCCTCATTAAAAATTATACAATAAAAAATTACAAGTTTAGTTTGTATCCTTGTATGTTTTTAAGGTGAAATAAATTAAATAGCGATATTAGGCTACCTGATGTCTGTTTTTTTAAGTTGTCTCGACGTCCGTCATGGCAGAGCGGACTGGGCTCCGAACAGCGTGACGTCACACGCAAAGGGTCAATACCCGCCATTTTATTTGTTTTCAACTGTTATTTTTTTTATTTTTTTGTCGTTCAGACCAACCCCACGCTCCTCGTTATTACCTCACAGGTCATGCTGACCAAACTGTATCACTGCATGACTGTTGTGCCAGACTGTATGTCAGTGTCGATGTCTTTTAAGTGCCTGCGCTGCTTTCTACGACGGCCTCCAGCTGATTATGAGGTTCCTGTTTCAGTCCAGGAGATTGAGAAAAAAACCCGCTGTTTTCGTAACTGGATTGTTTTGTCCTGAAACTCTCAAACCTGCTTTGTGTTTCAAAGCTTCCAAAGAAAAATGAATGCCTGAACTCTTTGTTTTTTCTAACTTTTTTCTTCGGTTTTTACTAAAAATGACACTAGAGGGAGGGCTGGTCCAATCAGAGGAGACGAGGCTTAATGGCGGCTCGGCGCACATCCGGTGTCTCATTTCCATTCTTTGTCATAATTATGTAAAGCAATGTGTGTTATTGCTGTTATGGTATTTGTTTTTGTTCTGGTTAATAAAAAATAACTTCAAACCAGCAGTTTGCGTGACCAGTTTCTTCTATACAGCCGATAAATAGAATTTGAGTTTGGAATACATTGGAGTAGACCAGTGGCGCACCTAGAAAGTTTTCATACAGATGGCCATATACAGGGGTTATCCTCAGTCAGCACATAAATGAATTCATAACATAAAAAAATAATTTACATATGCTCCCTATGTATACATTATATTTTTACATTGTTTTTTTATATATTATGTATACGTTTCTGAAAGATAATGTTACCATAGTAAGTTGTGTTAACGTTTTATTCAGTTAATACAGTTCATTTTCCTCAGTTCCTGATTTTAAAAACCATTCAACTTGCCATATTATCCAATAATGTTTCAAATGAGTCTTTAAAAACCCAGAAGAATATGGCTGGTATAATCTCAGGGCGAATCCTTCTAAATAACAGTCTAATCCGTCCATCATTGGTTACTTCTAATGGGTTTAATAAGGAAATTAGTGAAACTAAAAATAAGCCCTCATGACATTTCCTGGTTTACTTTGGGAAACGTGGTGATAAAAATTGATAAAGATCAAACAGATTCATCATGTATCTGAGCCAACTTCAGGGTTAATTCATTTAGCATGTCATCACAGATATCAGCTCTGGGTCATGAACTGCAGCTGACAAAACATCTGAGAAAAATTTAGCTCACTGTAGATTTTTCTGCAGCAAACGTGTCACTTTTCTATGTTGACATTTAAAAATAATTAGAATTGCAAAAGCTTTTATTCACATAGAGGTCAACTTTATGTTAAGAGTGAGAATTTACAGGGTAAAATGAAGAAAGAAACTGCAGTAAAAGTTATTTGACATCTTATATATATTATATTATATTATATTATATTATATTATATTATGTTACACGATCTCAAAAGTGCCATAAGAGTTTATATTAATGCTACTAATGCTAAGAAAGCGAAAAAATAACTAATTTGCCTTTTTTTAAAAATAAACCCTAACTGTCCTCTTCATGATAGTTTGTCAACATACATACACTGTAATACACACTGCTACAGGAAATATGTCCTTCATTATATATTTAAGTTACAACAACATTTAATTTACCACGAGGAAATTGATGGCGTTCTGAGTTGTAAAATAATTATTGTGAGACACAGGAGAAGCGGCGTGATTTGTGACGTCACTCGCCAACAAAGCTCCTATTGGTTCTCCTGTGACCGGAAGTAGACTACTACCCACTCTTTTCTCTGTGCTCCGTGGCGCTCTGTAAGCAGAAGCTGCTGTCGACTGCTGGTTTCGTGAGAAACATTTCCGCTTCGAGCACAGGCAGACATGGACGAACGCAAAACCAGGTGAGGAACATTTTTTAACTACCATCACCGTTTAATGAGCGTTAATTTTAGGGAGCTAGATAAGCTGGAGGCGTCGCGGAGAGCTCAACGTCTCTAAGGTCTCAGAACCTTCCGTGTTTCCGGTTTTGATTTTTCAAAATAAGACTACAGTTGTAAGTACACTAACGCTCGGCTAGTTCGTAAATTCGATGTTTAATCAATAAAAATGAATATTATTGAAACGTTTATTAACGTGTATCGGTTAAAAATTTAATATTGTTATATAGACTCCTCGTTGCATTCATTTTGTTGTATTTCTAGCGTTTATTTCCAATGTTTTTGTTGATGAAAACCAAAAAGTCAGTTCGTCTGAACTGAATACGACGAGACTGATAAAATATGGTCTTTAATTATAGAAAAGCGACGTTATAACCATGTTGTGTTTTGCACTATCATAGAAGAGTGCTGACTTGACAGTCACTTACTTTTTCAAACTGTCATCGCTAAAGAGGCTAACTGCTGTATCCAAGGTAATTCTTGGAAAGTTGAGTGGAAGAAAAATGTTAGACGTGTCTCACCGTGGTTAAGAAGAAGAAAGACTGGACTGGACTGTCTCAGTGGTGACAGCGGAAACTGAGTTCTGCCGGTGTTAATTTGCTTTGATTTACACTTTGAGACATAAATAGTGTCAAGCATGTTTTTTTAGTGATTCATCACATGAACAAACTTATTCTGGTGTGATTGTATTCACTCACATTTCTTATGTAATGGAAACACTGCTGTTGGAAAATTGTGGTAGTTTTTCAACATAAGGGGAATACTGACAAAGTTTTGGGCACATTTTTAATGGAAATGCAGCGATTGCTACATAGCGTGATATTGATATCAGGAGTTTTATTTGTTGTTTTGTTTATTTATATTTTTATATTTAATTTAATATTTAATTTTCATTAGAATTTAGAGTTTGATATTTGAGAATATGTTTTTGCATTATTATTATACCATTATATTATATTACTTGAAAATGGTTTCAAGACATTATTGTTTATCCCAATAACTTATAGGATGATTTATCACCCAGTCATATTTGTTAAGTTGACAGGTGTTGTTATTTTGTGTTTTGTTGTTGTTGTTTCCTTCACAGGTGATTGTTGGAACAAAGCGGAGCCATGAAATGCCAGCAAAGCGTCGCGTTTTAGAGGAATACTTTGTGCGATGTGAGCAGGAGGAACGCGATGCAGACTCCCCAGCTGTAGGTCGCATGCGGACGTGATGCCCAGGCGGGGGTTCCCCTTGCAGGGCCGGGTCCGCTGGCTCCTGCTGGCCCTCTTCCTGCTCCTGGTGCTGCTGCTGTTTGCCTACCTGCTGGAGTGCACGCCGCCGGCCGACGCCAGCCAGACGCTACCCGGCGTGGTGGGCGAGCCCTTCAACAGGGAGTACTACCAAACGCTGCTGCAGGAGCACGAGGAGCGCCACCTGAGCCGCGTCTACAGCCTCAAGCGCCAGATCGCGCAGCTCAAGCAGGAGCTGCAGGAGATGAGCGACAAGCTGAAGCTGATGCAGGAGAAGAAGGAGCCGCCGGGCGTGCAGGGCCTGGGCGAGAACCAGGAGCCTGGCGACCTGCTGGAGTTCCTGCACTCCCAGATCGACAAGGCCGAGGTCAACGCCGGGGCGCGGCTGCCCAGCGAGTACGCCCTGGTGCCCTTCGAGAGTTTCACCTCCTCCAAGGTGTACCAGCTGGAGATGGGGCTGACGCGGCACCCGGAGGAAAAGCCGGTCCGCAAGGACCGGCGCGACGAGCTGGTGGAGGCGGTGGAGGCGGCGCTGGACATCATCAACAACCCGGACGAGGAGGACGGCGTGGAGGAGGACGTCCCCGTGCAGAGGCAGACCTACACTGACAGCCACTTTATGGAAGGCAAGACAGTACAAACAAACAGAGCCTACGGAACAACAACAGGGCCAAAAATACAAACTTTAGTCTGAGTTCTGACTTCAATATTTTGATGTGAAAAGTACAAATTCTGACGTTAATCTCAGAATTTAAAGTATGAATTCTGATTGAAGTCAGAATCCAATTCCAATCTCTGGATTTTGACTTTTTTTTTATCACAATTTTGACTTTTGGTTTAAACATCAGAATTTTTACTTTAAGAATTCTGAAATTAATATTTTGCTATGAAAAGTATGAATTCTGACTTCAATGTCAGAATTCGGAACAACAATGTTAGAATTCTCTTAGTTGCAAAGTCACATCACTGCTTATTTTTGGCCCTAATCCTTTTCCATAAGATCCAATATCTGATCTTAATCTTTTTTAATCCTTAATTTATTTTCTAAAAAAGTAATTAGAAATTACAGAAAATATTTTCATTTCATTCATTCCTTGTGAGTTTTACAACAGAGCATTGGGCCCAGGTCACAATAATTTTGTTTAATTATAATAAAGTCGTAATATTAACAGACTATTGAGGAAATTTTATCTTAAAAATTTTCCTCTTTAAAAATTGAGGAAAAAAGTCATTTCAATGAGAAAAATCTCCTTATAGATCCGACATGACGACCTTGAAACAGACTCAGTTGTTTGCTCATTTCAAAGTTCTGCTGCTGATAATTTGATGCGATTTAATATTTCTTTACCTTTAAATGATACCAAGATGCTCAACATTCCTCATTTTACCTCATTCTGATCATTTACGACTGTATTTTTGCTGTGCTGTCTCCGTCTCGGCGCTGCAGGCCTGTACAGGACGGAGCGGGACAAAGGGACGCTCTACGAGCTTTTCTTCGCCAAGGAGGACTCCAGCAGCTTCCGGCACGTTTCGCTCTTCCGGCCGTTCGGGCCGATAATGAAAGTCCGCAGCACATCGGTGGAGACACTGGGGATGATCATCAACATCATCGTGCCGCTGGCGGGCCGAGTCGACACTTTCTCACAGTTCTTACAAAACTTCAGGTGGGACGACGAGCCTCTGTCTGTGAGAAATGAAGCTGCTTGTTTCTTATTTAATCAGCTCTGTGGGAACTGAACACTAGTGAAAATGAAATGATCTGTTTTCAGGGAGGTGTGTGTTCAGCGGGACAGGCAGGTCCATCTCACCGTGGTTTATTTTGGACAGGAAGGTCTGCAGGAAGTGAAGTCATCGCTGGAGAAAATGTCCAGGTTTGTGTTCTTGTGCTTTTATCACTTTATATTATTTTCAACAGTATTTTTTTTTTTTTTTTTATTTCATATTTTTTATTTCAAGTTGCACAAAGTAAACACACATCTGTTCATTCTACTTGAACTTTTCTAGATTAATTCCCAACCACAACCTATGAAATGTTGTTTTTCCCTGCAGAGAGGAGACTTTCTCCAATTACACTCTGATCCCGGTGGATGAGGAGTTTTCTCGCGGCCGCGGTCTGGACATCGGCGCCAACGCGTGGAAGAACGGCGACGTCCTGATGTTTTTCTGCGACGTAGACATTCGTTTCTCCGTGGACTTCTTGAACACGTGCCGGCTCCAAGCCGCTCCCAGTAAGTTCCTCCACATGTTCAGGATCTTTATCTTCCCAGCTTAACGCTCCTCTGTTTAATGAATTTTCTCATGCTTTTGTAGATAAGAAGGTTTTCTACCCGGTTGTGTTCAGTCTGTACAATCCGGCCATCGTTTACGGAAGCTTGGAGCTGGCTCCACCTATTGAACAGCAGCTGGTGAGGCGCCTCAACATAACGCTCATTTTAACGTTGAATAACCTTAAATTATGTAAAATCTTATCTCTGAACTTTTATCTTCAGAGTCACAAAAAAGACGCTGGATTTTGGAGAGATTTTGGATTTGGAATGACCTGCCAGTATCGCTCAGATTTCCTAAACATTGGTAAGCAACAAACAAGTTACATCGGTTTTCATAATTATATTTATTTATTATATTATAGCGACTTAAAACACTTGTATCTGAAAACCCATCAATTTTCAATTGTTTCCATTAAATGAGAAACACAGTTAAAATTGCACATGGAGTTTATTTACACAACAAATCATTAAACCAAATTCTCCTTCTTCTTCCTGTTGTCGTCTTCGTGGTTTGATCCAGTAGAAACATCATGCGACTCCTTTGATGCAGATTTTTCATACATTTTTGGCTTAATTACAGCTCTGAGTGTGCTGTTCTTTCAGCAAATGGCCTTTTGAGAGACTCCAGTTAATCAATCCAGTTGACGAATAATCGATTAATCACAGTATCTGATTAATCAGTTTGGTCTTAAATCACTTAATTTTATTCCTTTTTGTTGCAGCACAAAATACTCTTATAGTCGTGTATTGGTCTGCAGTGAAGATGCTGTGGAGGTTAACCAATCAAATATCAGGATCACTCATAGATATAGTAGCAGAGCAAATAATTATCAAATAAATACTGAAATAAATTTGTATTGACATAGATATGTGTATATATATATATATATATATATGTTAAGTTTTATGAGTTGTTTAGTTGCAAATTTTGTATAGTTTTCTATTATTTGAATGATTAATTGTGATTAATCGTTTCAACACATCGTTTCCTGAGTTTAATGTCAAAAACCATCTGAGATTAAAAGAAATTTATCGATTGATGTTTTATTCCTGCAGGCGGCTTTGATCTGGAAGTGAAAGGCTGGGGCGTGGAGGACGTCCACCTGTACAGGAAGTACCTGCGGAGCGAACTGATCGTGATCCGGTCGCCGGTGTCCAGCCTCTTCCACCTGTGGCACGAGAAGCAGTGCGCAGACGAGCTGACGCCGGAGCAGTACCGCATGTGCATCCAGTCCAAAGCCATGAACGAGGCGTCGCACCCCCACCTGGGCATGCTGGTCTTCCGGGACGAGATCGAGGCCCACCTCCGGAAGCAGGCCTTCAAAACGCAGAGCAAGATGGAGGCCTGAGGAAGAGACCGGTGTTCCCAAACGAGACTTAAAGCTGCAGTACGCAACTTTTATTAAAAATAGGTTTCTACACGTTTTATATGAAACAGATAATCTGCGAAAAGATCGATCTCCTCCACCTGAGCTATTACCTTCTGAAGAAATGTATCAAAAACAACCAATCAGAGCCAGGAGGAGGGGCTTAGCGCTGTCAATCATCATCGTGAACGCACTGATAAATGTCCGAATGATGGAGAAACAACTTCCTGTTGCAGTAAAAACAGCTTATCCTCCATCATTGGTTGTCAGGCTAACTAGCCTAGCGTTCATGACAGAAGAAATAGGGGGAGGCTGAATGACAGCGCTAAGACCCGCCTCCTCCCGGCTCTGATTGGTTGTTTCTCGATAGTACAGGGAGAAGGTTTTTTTCTTCAGATCATCTGTCTCTTATCAAACTGTCACAACATGAAGACAATTTAAACAAAAAATGTAAAAAAAAATATAAAGTTACATACTGTAGCTTTAAAGGGGCTTTGCAGCAAAAAGACATTTAATCCTGATTAATGGAAGACTTGGCGGTGTACAGTGCACCAGTTAGTTAATGGTGATAAATCACCATTAACTAATTTAATCGGCTGAATAGTGATTAATCGATCCTTCTGCTTTTCTCTGCACAGCTGTAGACGGATGAATGTAGAAAAATGTGAAACGTGGCACAAAATGGAAGCCTTACGATCAAATCAGCAGTATTTAAGGAAGACTTAGCGTTATACAGAGGACCGCGTTTTGTTTCTGGGAACTTTTTGAAAATTGGTAAGTGTGACCTTGAGGGTCAGCGTTTCTTCGCCGTCTTCTTGCTGCTTCTGAATGTGAAACATTTCAGCTGCTTCTCAGACACGGAGGAGCAGCATAGGCAGGCAGCACCCAGCTGCGTTTGGAGAAAATAAATGGAAAATCAGTTGGGGGGGATGGGGGGGAGAATCACATTTCTAATTTATTGAGCATGAGAACAACAGAAAGTTGCACTTTCTCTCAGCGGAGATTAAAGTATATTCTGACCGTTTAATTTTCAGAGGCCCAAACTACGAAGGAAGATTAGCGGCTGGATTCTTGGCACTACTGGTTTCCCATAAAAGCTGAACTTCCGAGTATGATGGTGTTTTTAGGGCCAGACTAAGATTTTTTTTATTTTTTATTATGAGACTAAAGTTATAATGTTAGTAGAATAAAGATTGAAAATGACTAGAAAAATGTTTTCAATGAGATCAAAGCCTTGATTTCAAGATCTGACATCTGGTGATAATTATTTGATGCTAAAGTGTTAAAAGATTATTTATCTTTAAGATCAAAGTATAACTTCACAAGATGCTCAATTTATTTTTCAGGAATTCTCATAAAATTACTTCATTTTACTAATATTGCAAGTTTATTCTCATGACTTTATTCTCACAATATTGACTTAACGTTCAACTTTTTCTCATTATTTTTTTATTCTCTGATTTTATTCTTGTACAACTTTTTCCTCACAATTCGACTATTCTTGTGACTATTATTCTATAATTACATCTTTATTCTCGTAACATTTAATTTGCATACAACTTTGTCTCAACTTTTTTCGTATAATTATGACTTTTCTCATGACACTGAACTCTATTTTTCAAACGATTTAATTCTCGTTCGACATTTTTCTGTTAATGACTCTTGAAATGTGACTTTTTTCATATTATTTTGACTTCATTCTCGCACAACTTTATTTTTCTCGCATTATTCCGACTTTGTTCTTTTAACACTAACTTTGTTTCTTGTAATATGGCTCTTTTTTCTCACAATATTACGACTATTTTCTAATTACATCTTTTTCTTAGTCTGGCCTGAAGCTTTCAGAAGACTCGATGTTGGTTACCTGAACTCGTCATAGATTTGTTTACCGCTTGCTTTGGGATCTTTAAGGAATATTTACCAGTTAATTGAAGGACTAAACTGATAAAAATAATTTGGTGCATAAGTTTGTATTTGTGGCAGATTATTTTTAATCCACAAGGTCAATTTGCACTAAAATGTGGATAGAAATGTTTCTTCGTAGCGTCGGCCTCTGATGAAGAACCTCTTGATTTATTTACAGAGAATTACTAGAAAAATGTTGGTTTTTGTTCAGACTGACTGTGTGGATAAAAAGGGAACATTTTGTGTTTTTTATTGTTGGATTGTGTCAGAGTTTAAATGCGTTGGACCAATCGGAGGATAAACTCCAGCATGCGGCTCACGCTGCTGTTTTCCCTCTAAATCTGTAGTTCCAGTCGCTCTTACATGTAAATACGTTTCAAACATTTCAGACTTTACATTGAACCTGCAGGTTCCAGAGGATTATATTAACTGTTCTGCTTGTTTTAAGCTGAGAGGATGTTACATAAACTGGTGCTTTGATTGTCTTAAATATACCAGGTTGCTCCTGCGTTGCGTTCTGTAATTATTTACATTTTGCTTGTTCTGCAGCGTTTTTAGGCTGTCTTAAAAGTTTCCTGGCTTGGCAGGAGAAACTAAACGTCTTCCTCTCGACGGCACATGACCGTCAAAAGCTGAATAATAAAAACAAATGAGCAAGAAATGGATTTATTGTGACGATTTGTCCATGAATAACTTACATCTGACTGCATTGGCTGTTCTTGTTCCGCCACCTGTTGTACATTTGCTATAAAAATGTAATATCAACCCTGTCAAGTGTCTCTGCTTCTACCAACTCATTTGTTTGTTTCTTAATTTAAGACAAATGGCATAATACCAACGTATTACTCATCTGTGTACAATAAGCTACTTCAATAAAAATAGAAAACCAGAATTGAGTAATCGGAGCATTAATGAGCGAGCGGCTCCGGATGGATCCCAACGATTTTGTAGATTTCCTTCAGGAGAAGCAGCGCCGTGTCTTCAGACTGCCTGCAGGACGAAACAGAAACAGCAGGTGGAAAAACATTTTACGGTTTTTAGTTTCCTCCAAGAAACAAAAGAGCAGAACTCTCCAATAAAACCACCACAAAAATATCATTGGTAAGTGTTTATTTTCTCTGAGAATGGAGATAAGATGTTAAAGGTCAGAGGATCAACTTTGTCACTATATTTAGCAGCTAAATAAATAAATAACCTTGAATAAAAACTCTTTGTAGAACTTTGGTGAGATTATCTGAGATTAATAAGATTCCACAAAAAAGTATTTTTACTAAAAGAGTAAGAATTATTAGTTTTTGCATCAGAATCACCATTTTAAAAACAAACAGTTTATCTACAGAAAGAAATAAAGTTAGGCAGTGGAAACCATTTCTGGTTTACATATTTTTACTGGTAAAAATAAAAAGTTAATATTTAGAAAAGTTTACCTTTTAAATATTATGGGAAATAAAACAGAATTTAGAAACAGTTTAACCAAACTTATCTGGATTTGGAAAAATAAAAAATAAATTGAAAACTTTTAAATACATTTGGTGATAATGAGTTTAATCCTCTGTTCTTAACTATTTTTAATTTCATATTCTAATTTCTACACTTTTGTTTTCATTTTTCCTGCAGTTTTTGTTTATAATCAACATTTCAGGACAAATCAATTATTATATAAACACTAAAATGAGGCAATTAGTAAATTACACAGATTTTGTGTTTTTTTTTTCTCCAAGAAGCATAACTGATGGTGATTTTACGATATTTAGGCCAGAGAATAAACTCATATTTCTACCAGAAAAAAGTCATAATAATATGAAAATTAAGTCACAATATCACCAGAATGAAGTTGTAAATTTATGATAATTAAAAAATTTAAATGAGGAATGTAGAGCCTGTTGTTAAGTTTTACTTTTAACTTGTTAAATCAACTTTTCCTCATAATTTAAAAAATTTCCTGGTAAAATTATAACTTTATTCTTGTAATTAAAAGAATAAAGTTCTAGTACCGTGTCGTATAATTTTCTCTTTTGCGTCTTAAATATCCAGTTACATTGTTACCGATTAAAAGCTAAACCTCTAACCCTTATTTATTTTTCTTTCATGTGAGCCATAGTGTGAAAACCCGGACGGCTCGGCCCGGTAAACTCAACATACCAGTAGCAGAGGTGGCTCTGCAGGGCGAACAGATATTCGTTGAAGCTCTCGATGGGTTTCTCCTGCAGGACGAAGTCGATCCGATTCCCTCCGTTCAGCATCCCGATCTTCACCTGCGGCTCGTCGTCCCTCTGCAGCTCCGCGCTCTCAGCCACTTTATGCTCTGTGGCGAACGACAACAGCGTTGTGGCGATCGCACAGACCCGGAGTTTGAAGAGAATAAGAAGGAGGCAGACATACCGTCGTGAACGTGCTGCTCCTCCTCCTCGATCTGATTGGCCACGATGGCGAGCTCGGCCTGCAGGGCGGAGGAGGTGTGGGCGCGGGCGAACTCGTTGAGCGTCTGCCAGGCGCTGCGCAGCGAGCTCATGAAGCCGTGCTTCAGGTCCGAGCCCATCCGGGACAGACTCTCCTTCAGCTCTGAAACCGATTCACACAAAACGCCCTGAAACGAGCTGCACCTCCGTTACAAACTTTACCAATATTACGCTCATAAAAATAAAATCTGAATAAGTTCGATAAGTCATTAAAAAACATCCAACCACTTCCTGCTGTCTTCTTTGTTGTTTCTGACAGTAGTAACATCCTGTTGTTGATCACATGCTTCACGTGATGTGAAAAAAATGTTTTCATTGCAGTTTTGCTAAATATATTAATTTTGATACAAAAAACACCTCAACGATAGCGCCAAAACTTTTTATCGTAAAGTCAAGTTTTTTAGGTTGTATTGAAATTTGTGAATTTCACAAAACTGGAACAGAAAGACTTTTTTTTACATCACAAACAACTACAATGTCAAAATTTGTGTATTTTATGGAATACACTAAAAACTCTCTTCCTGCACAAAAACATCTTATTGAAAAATTAGTTTTTTTAATGTGTGAATTTCCTTTAAGCAAATTTATTTCCCAGATTCGTTTTTCTGCAGTTTTTAAAACAATGGTTAAATTTGAGAATTATCATCGATTACACCAAATTATCTTAGATTACATAATATTAGATGAGTTTTTACTAGATCAACTCATAGATTAACTCATACCAGGATACATCAAGTTAGATTAGATAATCCGAGTTTAGATCAGAATCTATATTACCCCTTCCGTCGCTGACGACTAGTTTGCAGGACCGTAATTCCTCAAGACGTTGTGCTTTCTAAGCAGTATCGGGTTATTACGGTAATTTCACCCCCACCACAGCAGGGAGCAAGTTTTACTTCAGTTTAATCTGAGATATCAAAAGTTCCAGTTGTTATGGAGAAATGAGAAAATATATTTACTCACAGGACATTTAAAAAACTTCGTACAATTAAAATAAGGAATATTTTCCAGGTGGAGATTTGAAACTTGGATGGTTAAACTGCAGAAAATAATAACTTTAACAAGAGATTATGCCTTTTTTATTTCCACTGTATTCCCTCCATGATCTCACTTACAACAAACGGTAAACTGAGATTAAGCAACAGAAAGTGTTTTTCTGAAATGAAGAACTGAAACATCCCAGCAGCCTCTGGAAACTGATCAGTCAGCAGAAGTTTCTTACCGAGGTGAAGCCTCTTCCTTCCTTTGTAATGTGGGATTAAAACGGGCTTCAGGTCCAAATCTGGAACGATCATCGGCTCGATTCGGTACGCCACCGGGTCCAACTGAAACAAGACGGCGCCGTTAGCTTATTTTCAATCAGACGCTGTAGAGCTGGTCAACAACAATAAATATCACGGCAATATCAATGTCAATACGTACATCTGATAGAATATTCAATAATCAATATTTCTGGCTAGCTCAGCTGTGGTAGAATCAATTCTCTCTCACTCCATGGTTGCCTAGCAACAACCTGCCATGTAAGAAGCAGTTTCAAGTCCCCCTCTCTACCCCACCCAGCTTCGGTTGCCTGGCAACGACCTGCTGAGTAACTGACAGTAACAGTTTCAAGTTTCCCCACTTTCCCTCAAAACTGCTTAAAAATAAAAAACAACGGCGAGAAAACGGGATAAAACAGGAAACTAGTATTTAAAACAAGAAAATAATCAATAATTATTGATAGATTAATTTGAAACGATTACATGGTGATTAGTTTTTCAGCTTTATAATAGTTTGTAGTCATTTAACTCCTAACGTTCAGACGTTAAGGTTCTTCGCACCGGGTGGTAGATGTTGAAGAATCCCTTGCAGGTGGGCAGCTGGTACGCCTCGTCGATCTTCTCCAGGCCGCGGACCGTCAGGAACATCCCGATCGGAGAACCCAGGGCGAAGAAGTTCACCGGCTCAAAGTCCAGGCTGTGGTAGATCACTGACACCTGCAGAACCAGTCAGAGTCAGTCAGAACCAGTCAAAACCAGTCAGAGCCTGTCAGAACCAGTCAAAACCAGTCAGAACCAGTCAGAGCCTGGCAGAACCAGGCAGAACGTCAGCGCCGCTCCGCTACAGTTCATAACAATCTGCCCACCTGTCCAGTTCCAACTTCAAAGTAGTTGTAGTTCACGTGGACTGAAGACACGGTGCTGCCCACTGGTGGCTTGGTGGTGGCGCTACCGGCAGGCTGGGGAACTGCAGCCAGACTCTCCTCCTTCGCTTCTGCTTTCCTCTGCTGGCGTCCCGCCTGGAGACCACAGCCACCACACACCCAGCAGGGTCAAAGGTCACAAGCTATCAATTTCAAGTTGAAATTTTTCAATTTGAAATTCAGGAATTTCCATGGTTTTTCCTAGCAAATTTTCAACTTTTCAAACTCAGAAATGTTCTAGTTTTTTCTAGAAAATTTCTGAAATCTCAGGAAAAAAATTATTTTTTCTTGGCAGACATGTACTCCTTTTATTATATCTACAATGGCCTTGCTGTGTTTTAAGTTAGTTAGAATCACCAAAATAGTTTCTATTTGCTAAATGCTGGAAAAGTTGATAATATTTTTTAGAGATATTTTTGTAACTTTCTCAG